GAAGCACATGAAATACTCATCAGTGTGCTTTCACTGTATAAAACAAGAATGACTTAACTAGCAGAACATATGGTTAGATTATATAAATGGAGTTCTCTGCATTTCAAAAAATATGAAAACATATGAGTTTCTCTGTTAACATTTATTTTCATCAAGTAAAACTGACGGGAGAAAAACTTGTAATTTAGAAAATTCTATCCATTAACTTAATTGTCTTTCTAAAATGTGGAAGATTGCCATTATTAAACCTGAGGAGAGGTTCCATTCTAGGATCACCAGTGTTCCAAGGGCCTATGGTTTGACAGGCACTGAGATAATGGATGGAAAAACACTTTGAAAATGGAAAGAGATCATTACTTTTACTCATATCAAAAATGAATCTCTCTAAAGCTCTGACACTGTTGTAATTTAGCAGAACAGGCAAGGCAGGATGAGAGCCCAGTGGGTTGGAGACCAGGGTGCTCTAATGGCACAGGCTAAAAGTCAGGTCTTCACAGGAATTGTTCTGTGCCTGGAAAAGCTCTGGGAAACACTTTTATAGCTTTTACAGCCCCAGTGTTTCCAGCTACGCTAAGCAACTGCATACTCCTAGATGAGTGTCAGTTCACTTTACATACTCAGTGTAAGAACACAGGTAGTATTTAATAAATGTTTGTTGAGCTGAACTCTATAACACCTCCACTGACACTTTCAGGGAGAACTGCATCTTTAACTTTGCTCTCTTGATATTTAGTTCATTTCCCAAGCAAAGCACTTCCCACGTGTACTTTAGTTACATTTTTGAACACTATCCTTCCCAGGCCACTTCATACTTTTTGTAGTTAAGAGACTGTGTCCGACTCACCACAGTGTCATCTGTGCAAAGCACAGTGCCTGGCACATAGCAGACACTCAATAACGGTTGTTCTTTTCAATAAGTTACAAGAGGCAGACTTGAGGGAAAACATGGATGCTAGTTTAAAACAACTCTCTATAAGCCAGTCCTATAATCCATGTCTAGCCCTACAGTCACCAGGCCAGCAAAACCAATCTTTCTGTTTCCAGGAAGCTAGGACTATCACCACAAAGTGATTCTGATCTGCAGATTTTTCTGGGAATGATGTCACAGTCTCCTCACAGACTTGTGGCTGTTAGAGCTGATCAATCTATGAGTGCTACAACAAAATAAGTAGGTGTCAGAAATGACAAACACCTCCTCTATGTCAACAGTCAGAACAGCATGAAGTTTCCAAGAGAAAAGGTATCTTGACTCCTAGTGCCCTTCTACAAAGAGGAAATAAATTGTCTAAGGTCAAAAACCTTACTCTCTTGCCCCAGAGCCTGAAAAATAGAACATATAACAGCTAAAACTGACAGCAATTTATGTTGTCTCCATTTCATCCTCCCAATCTTCCTCTTGGCAATGCTTTTATTCTTGGGCTGCTATTACCCTAAAATTGGGAGCTGAACAACAGCTGAGGGCAAGTAAGTAAGTGGTCTTGGGAGATATGACCTAGCAGTATACAAATGAGAAGGACTATATTCTTTTTATTTTTATCAAATAAAAATCACTCCAAACAATCTGAAGCCTTTTAAATTTAACAGAATGATGCAGGGCCCTTGAAGGAATAATGAGATTACACACTGAGACACAGTGCTATGGCTGCACATATGCTCTGAAGTGTGATCCCCCACTGCCATGAGTCAAGGTGGGTCTTACATGATGAGAGAAGAAAAAGGAAGATATCATGTCTTAAAGAAGAAAGAGCATGTACAAAGAACAGAAGCATGAGACAGAATGGGTGTATGAGAAAATGTGCCTGAAGTATAGTGTGCAAAATGGGAAATCACTGAGAAGGAGATTGGGTCTGTGCTGAGAGACCCGAAATCCCACTGAGGATACAGAAAAAATGGTTTGCTATCATCCCCCATGCTGCCACCCAAGAGGAAGCTTTGTTTTCACCTCTCTTCTCACTAACTCCTCAGAGAAGCATCAAGGACAAGGGCACAGGACGGAGGGATGGAAACCAACCTATAAACCAACCTATAAACCAGGCCATGCAAGATAGAGATAAAACCAGTATTGACAAGGAAAGCTGAGGTGAGGTAGATGTGCCTTTTCCTTCCCAAGGTTCAGGAGTCATAAGGCTGAGTGTGGAACCTTTGGAAGGAGGAGTGAAGAGATTATACCAGCAGAAAAGGGACAAGGGTTGGCCACTTTGTGCATGAGAATTAACTCTTGTCTCAGGGATGTAGGGCTCAAGAGAGTAGAGGAGCCAGCCTGAGAGTCAGAGAAGAAAAAATGGGAAAATGGCTGTTTATTGTTTTTTCTAGGTTCTAAGTTCAGGGAAGAAAGGAAGCCAAAAGATGACTTTTCCAGTCCAGTACCCCAGGGGTACAAAAGAGACAGGGACTTGGGACAGAGCCTCTGTAAGCTGGCGGATGAAAGTTTTCATTGTGCTGTTCCGTGCAGGAAGTGAGGAGCCTCTAGCAGCTTCCATCACCATCCAGCCCTATTGTGCTAGCCACCCTGGAACAATGAATGACATCAGAGAAAAGCCTACAGCCCTAACAAAAGGGAGCATCACTCCCTTCAAGCAACCAAGGTCATCTGGAGGCAGCTGTTTGCAGAGAATGGGTTGTTTGCCAGCTCTGATTTACAAAACCTCGGGGCAGCTCCAATAACCACATTTAGGTTCAGCTCAGTCAATATTTATTGTCCTCTACTTGATGCCAGGCTTTGTGCTGGACACTGGGGATACAGAAAAAATATGAGACATGGCCTCTACCCTGAGTATGCTCATCATCTAGGAGGAGAAACAGTCATCAAAACAGGTGGTTAAAACAGAGCAGCAAGTCCTAGGATAGAGGAAGCACAAGGAACTCCAGCAGCTCATGGTAGGACAAGTAACCCAGTGCAGGGAATCAGAGGTTTCTCAGAAGGAGAGATTTGTTCTTCCCCTCCTCATCCTGCTTCCTCAATGGGATTTAGATGTTCAGAATGTATTGGCCAAGTGAAGAAGGAGAGCAGGTCTTCCAAGTAGACAGAAGAGCAGGTGAGAGGTCTCAAAACAGTATGATGGGGCTTCCCTGGTGGCGCAGTGGTTGAGAGTCCGCCTGCCGATGCAGGGGACACGGGTTCGTGCCCCGGCCTGGGAAGATCCCACATGCCGCGGAGCAGCTGGGCCCGTGAGCCATGGCCGCTGAGCCTGCGCATCCGGAGCCTGTGCTCCGCAACGGAAAGAGGCCACAGCAGTGAGAGGCCCGCGTACTGCAAAAAAAAAAAAACCCAGTATGATGATTTGAGTATGGTATCCATGAGATGGGAGAGGAGGCTGGAGAGAAATATGGGACAGATGGCATTAGACATGCCATTAAGCTTCCTTTTATAACAAGCCAAGGAGTGGGCCAGAGCATGGTATATACAGAAAATTATCTATGAGGGAGGATCCCAAGAAATTAAAAAAAAACAAAAAACTCACACCCAAACAAAACTAATTTTATTTTCTGCTAATTTATGTGAGACTTTTAGAAGGGGGATATCGCAAAATAAAACAACTCCAAGAACTTACTCTGAGGTGTCACAACTCAGAAAGGGTGTAAATCACTCCTTCTTCTGAATTTTAAATAGCACTTTGTATCTTCCTTTCAGCACTTGTCACTTTCTGCTTGGGACCATAATTATTTGTGTCTTATCTCTAGTGGTTTATCAGCTCCCTGTGAGCATGAACCAGGTCTTGTTCATTCATACTATAAAATTTTATTGCAACTCAGTCTGAAAAGGCAAGGCACCCCCAACAGTACCTAGCACATAATAGATGTTTGAAAAATGTATCATAGCATTATGGAGTTACATGATATCAGAGCTGAAAGACTCTTGAAGATATTCTAATCCAGAGTTTCTCAAACTTTGTGAAGAGTCTGACAAGAGCTATGGACTCCCTTCCCAGAAAAAGTCACACATAGAAAACATTTTACATATAATTTCAGGACCTGCCATGCCCAAAGAGGTTAGGTTAACTTACCCCAAATCACAAAGCTAATAACTGGCAGAACCAAGCCTAGAACACAAGTTTCCTGGTTCCCAATTCAGTACTCTTTTCATCACAAAGGAACAATTTTAGTAGGGCTGTTTCCTGCTGGGAAGGTGCCTGATACAAGCCTCAGGTGTGGCAACATTCCTGTCCTGAAATTCCTTGATATAAGGATTTTGCTCAGGAGAACTTGGCAAGTTTAGTGGCTTCTGAGGCCCAAATGCAGTGGTACTGGACTTCTGCCAAGGTGAGAGAGGCAATGGGAGATGTGCGGGGTTGCATGGGAGCATCGAACTAAGCCAAAGAACCAAAAGCGATGTTGAAATCTCCCCAAGTAGAACAGCAAAATCTTCCTAACTATACTGTTTACAGGAAGTGATAGAATCGTGACTCAAAGCTAGACTGTCTGACTTTCAAGCCAGTTTTGTGTCCATCCCACTACAAAATCCTCTACAAATGCCCAAAAAATCCAACCACCACAGAAGCAATCCTTCAGCTGGAGCCAAAGAAATAGGCTAAACAATCTTACAATGCTTAGAAATAACTCCCAGTTATCTGTGATAATGGATTAAAGAAACACATACATATTTTAAATCTGTAAATACTGTAAAAATCAGCTACTTGGCTGAAAATGTGAATCCACCTCTATGTGCCACAAACCATTCATTCAACTGAACTGAACATATCATTTCCATTGTGAGGTCCCTATTGAACTAAGTACTAAGAAGATATTTTCTTTACGTGTCACAAATAATAAAACCAAAGAATTTGCTTTTCACTGTGATAACCTGGCCTAGGGACAAGATTAGGAACTGGCAAAAACATCTCCACTCTGGATCATATCCAAACTAATTAACTGGAGAGGACTGAGGGACAACCCTCTATCCTTTCTAGCTCCAGTATAATCCAACCTATGCACATCTGACCTTCAGGGTCTTTGTAAAAGCTGCACACTATCCCTTTCTAAAGGACCCCTGCCCCTCTTACCTCTTGTGCTTTAACTAGGTGCTTGTATCTTCCAATGCCATGCGTGGGCTGTGACCTGTAGTGCCGACTGGTGCTCAGCAGAATGCCACCTAAAAGAGAGAAAATAAGACAAACCTGTTTCAAAGCTCCTCCAGGGACAGATAGATCATACATGAGGAGACAAATTCTCCATCGTGAAATGGAATATTTGGGGATAGTGAGCCTCTTGCTGGTTTAAAGAACCAGAGCTATTTCTTGATCCTGAGCTGACACTCGGTTTACCCCATTTTTCTCTCCGTTTGGCCCCTGGACTATATCTAATTCCCCCCACCCATCTTTCTTTGAGAAATTCTCTCCTGCTAGAGCCACTGCTGGTAGGGGGACAAAATACATTCTCACAGGGCTCTCATTTTCTCTGTTCCTCAACAGGCAATAATCCTTTTGAAGTTTTCCAATGAAGATTGTTCAGAGAAAGAGACAGGTGGCAAGTACAACCAGGAAAAAGGACAATCACAGATTTCCACAGTTTTTTAAACTATCTAATTTGCTTTATTTGTGTTGATATGTAATAATCTCCAACAGACTTTGTTAAGTGAATAACAATAAAAACTAAAAACCTAAGGTACAGAACAGTGTGTATGTGAAAAATAGGATCTGTATACACATATTCACTGTGGTAGACCCAGAGATATGCCACCCACATTCCCTTCAAAGAAGGACTTGCTGATATATACATATTCTCCTTTAATCCTCATTATTTTTATCTTCATTTACAAATAAAGAAACTGCAGCTCAAAAAAATAGGAATTGGCCAAGGTCAACCAGCAAGTAAAAGGCAGAACTGCAATTTAAACCCAGGTCTATGTGACTGAACAGCCTGTTCTCAGATGTGTTATAACATTTGAATTTCTGGAATACAAAATCTAGCTAGGGACTTCCCTGGTGGTCCAGTGGTTAAGAAACCACCTTCCAATGCAGGGGATGTGGCTTTGATCCCTGGTTGGGGAACTAAGATCCCACGTGCCGCGGGGCAACTAAGCCCAAGCGCCACAACTACTGAGCCCGTGCACTCTGAAGCCCATGAGCCACAACTAGGGAGCCTGCGTGCCGCAACTAGACAGCCCACACACCACAACTAGAGAGAAGCCCACGCAATGCAACGAAAGATCTCACATGCCACAGCGAGGATCCCGCGTGCCGCAACTAAGATCCGAGGCAGCCAAATTGAAAAAATAAAAAATCTAGCTAGACTTGATCGTTTCCATATCTGATATCAGCTCCTTATCTCTACCCTTCACTGGAACCAGCCCTACACAGCTCTGTTATGTCTGTCTGTCTCTCTTGCTTGTTCCCTACCTTCTGGAAAAGTACTAGTCCTAGGTTCTGCTCCCTTCCCTCCCAGCTCCTGTGGTCCTGCATCTCCCCAGGGCCACCACTTTGTGGGGGGCTAAACACAAAATGGTGTGGAAAAGTCTAATGACATCAAGTGAAATGTTTCTTAAGCTTCTCTTTTCTAAAATGTGCTTCCAAGCAGGTCTGCTCTGTGCCAGGCCAATCAAGAATCGTGGCTTCAGAGACTTTCCCTATGTTTACAATCCACAGTATTTCATCAAGACAACCCTGGTATATCATGGTTCCCTTCCATGATGTGCATTAGTCCGCATTTACTATTATATGCCAACAACTGAATAGATACTGGGACAGTTACAAAGATGACTAAAATATACTACTTTCCCTAGAGACACTCAATGTGTACTGGGGAAGGATGATGGGAAAGCAGATAATTACCTTATAGTGTACAAAATACTTTAATGGAGATGAGAGCAAGGAACTTAGAGGAAAGAACCACTAACTCCACCTTAGGGGTGAGCGGGGAGAAGTGGAAGACGGTACAGAGGAATAGGTTCAGGGAGGTAACAGCTGAATTCTTTTTTTTTTTTTAAGTCAGTTTTCTCATCTTTATTGTTTATTTGGCTGCATCAGGTCTTAGTTGCGACACGCAGGATTTTCGCTGCAGCACGCAGGGTCTTTCGTTGCAGCGCATGGGCTTCTCTCTAGTTGTGGCGCACAGGCTTAGTTGCCCCGAGGCATGTGGGATCTTAGTTCCCTGACCAGGGATCGAACCCACGTCCCCTGCATTGGAAGGCGGATTCTTAACCACTGGACCACCAGGGAAGTCCCAACAGCTGCATTCTTGAAAGAGGAGTAAGAGTTTAACACGCATGGAAGAAGGAGGTATTTTTGGCAGAGGCTTCCAAAGAGCACTGAACATAACTGAGGTATCTTCTTGGCCACAGTCCCAGCTGACTCTTTGAGGCTTTAGGTTCCAGACTCTGCAACCTGGGGTCCCGCCCAAACAGCTGATATCCAAATCCCCTTGATTGGGTACACAAGCATCCTCAGATCAGAGCCTTGAAAATTAATCCATCCCAAAAGATTTTATTATGACTTTAAAACATGACCTCCTAAAAAGCACTGAACTCTCCAAAGCATGTTTACTCATTCAACAAATATTTATTACTACCCACTGGGGTAGCCAGAAACAATTATAGCCTCACAACCATGTGAATGGCACACACTAGAGTTGTGCAATGTACAAACAACCCAATATCCATGGCAGGCCCAGGTTGGTACCAACCACTGCCCTAGATGCTGGAGCTGTAACAATGGGCAAAGACAAAGTCCCTGCAATACAGAATCTATGATCTAGTGGCGAGACAGTAATATCAATGCAGGTGATAAGGGCTACCTACAATAAGGGCTATATACATGAGAGAGGCACTAAGGCTGGACTTGTGGTGTCAGGAAAGGATTCTTAGAGCAGGTGGCTTTTAAGTAAAACCTGACAGATGACTAGGAGTTAGAGAGAACACAGTATGGGGAGGGGAAGACCCAGAGAGAGAATTTCAAGGCAGAGTATAAGCAGCAGGGTGGCAAGAGATGAGCTTACAGAAACAGGCAAAAAATTTAGGAAGGGCTTAATTATTCAGTACTTATGATGTGCCAGACACTGTGCAATGAGGTGAAGATATAACAGGGGACAAGGCCAACAAAACTCAGCTTATGGGGCTTATAGTCTAGTAGGAGGAGGGAATCATTAATGGAGGAGGGAATAGTCACAAAATAAATATGAGGGCTTCCCTGGTGGCTCAGTGGTTGAGAGTCCGCCTGCCGATGCAGGGGACACGGGTTCGTGCCCCGGTCCGGGAAGATCCCACATGCCGCGGAGCGGCTGGGCCCGTGAGCCATGGCCGCTAAGCCTGCGCGTCCGGAGCCTCTGCTCCGCAACGGGAGAGGCCACAACAGTGAGAGGCCCGTGTACCGCAAAAAATAAATAATAAATAAATAAATAAATATGAAATTACAAATTGTGATGAATGATAAAAAGCGCTATGGCAATACAATCAGTGGATCTATTTTAGATTGGAATATCAGGAAAGGCCTCTAAAAAAAAATGACATGTGAACTGAAACCAGATTTCAGAGGAAAATAGTAATAGTGGTTATCCCCAGGGAGAAATGGCTAGACGGCAGGAGAGAGAGACTTACTGTTGACTTTATACTCATGTATCTTTTAAAACTTGTTCCATGTACATGCATTATCTACTCAAATAAATAAATTAAATAAATTGAGACCTGAAAGGCAGATAGGAGTTTATTAGGTAAAAAGATAGAGAATGAATATTCCAGGCAGTGGGAATAGCGTGTGCAAGGGCCCCAGAGGGGGACGCAGATTGGCACATTCAAGGAACAAAAAGACTGTCCATGTGGCTGAAGCAAAGTGAGAGGGGCTGAGTGCACCAGAGATTAGGGCAGTGGATTGGAACCCACCACTCTGAGCCATGTTAAGGGTTTGGATTTCATGCTGAACAGCGGAGAAATTATATGTCTAATGTGTTCTTAAAAGATCACTTTGGTTGTTGTGGGTGGAAGGTGGTTGGAGGGGGAGTGTGGATGGAAGTTCAAGCAAAGATTCAAGTAGTATCCTTGGCTGAGTTGTTGTTGTTAGTCTTCCTGTATCCACACCCCCCCTCTCTATTCCATCCTTTAAAGCTGACAAATTAATCCTTCTAAAACACAAACCTAATCATGTTATTCTCTTTCATTAATTCAACAATTTATTCACTGCACACACACAATTTTTAAAAAGGACTTACTCTGTGCCAGGCACTGTATCAGGCACTACAGTAACACCAATAAATGAGACAAGGAAGGTCCTTGCTATATTTCAAAATGTTTGATGATTTTCCACTGCCTGAAGTTCATACTCCTTAGGCAAGCATTTAAGAGTCCCAATTTTATAATCTAGTTCCAACCACTTCACGTCCTCACTCTCCATCCTCCAGGCTTTTAAAACCTTGCTTCTCAGCCACAGAGCTACACTTGCCATTCTGTATAAACCATGCAGTTCTCATGCCTCTGTGTGGTGCTGGGCTGTCCCCCATGCTGGGACTGCACCTCTCTGACTGGTGATATCCTTCACAGCCTCCATGGCCAGCTTAAATGTCGTCTCTGTGCTGCCCTAAACATACAAACATCATCAAGAGTTTACAGTTGCAGCTCTCCCATGCCTCCATTATATAGTAAAATATTTTGTGTAAATTAAAAAATAACAACAACCCAGGCACTCGTCACCATCTTTAAGTACACAGAAATTCAATCACCCACCAGTGGTTTCAAGTAGCAGAACCAAAAGTGATCTTTGAGATGATGACACATCTTAGGTGAAAATGCCACAAATGCTTGCCTCAGCCTCTAATCTACTGGAATTCCTTGGCACGGAGGCATTTTCAAATTTAGTTTGGGGCAATTTCTATAATTAGAGCAGTTGGTTAATTAAGAAGCTGGTTCAAACTACTGTTAAATTAACCCTTTTCTCTCTTAAATGAAAGGTTTTTGGTCAAATTACCAGTGGTTAAACTGCTTAATTAGTTGTTTTAATTATAAAATTTACAAGTTTGAAAGCTTCTGATTTCCATTAAGTTCAACTGAATTTTTTCCCCTGCTTGTGTCATTAAGCTGGTTTCCTGCTGTCATATTAACATTGCAGCCTCCTGAGAGAAAAGGCAACTCTTTTTGTTGAAGAAGATACAAAACCCCATGATTTCAAA